TCGAAGTAGCCCGATCTTCTCGATCTTTTGCTGCAACTGAGACAACGAAGGGTTAACTTCCACTATCGAGTCGAATCTATACTTTAACAGAACGAGGCTCACCTGCTGATCTAGCTCGACCCTTTCTTCACGAACCTTAGCCAAATCCGCTTGAAGATCCTTTATAGCCTCCTCCTTTTTGCTACGAAAAAGCCGAAGGTCATCTCTTTCACTTAGGACCTTCCGGAGTTTGGCCTCACACTGGCTAAGATCAACTCGAAACCTACTGATGTCCTGCATAGTTAGAAACTGTCATCAACACCAATAAAATAAAGAAGGATCACCGATATCAGAACCGTCAAGTATGGAAAAGAACAAAGAAGCCAAGTATGGAAGAATCATTACCCGAGTAATAAAACGCCGAGCTTCCTCTAACAAAAGAGAAGCATCATCGATATCGGAACTGTCATCAACACTAGTAAAACAATCCTTAAAAGGATCCGCTGCACCTGAGCCAGCACCAATATCGGGATTCTTCAGCTCTCGAGCCTCCTTCAACGTCTCCTCAGAAAAAGACGAAGAGAAGGTGAATGACCCATTGCCATTGCCCCGAGAAAATCACTCGGAGTACTCCGATCGAGACTTAGGTCTTCGGAACCAACCCCGATGGGCACGACCGCCATCGGCTCAGCAGCTCTAGCAACCTCGACTGCCTCTGTAGGTCGGACTACCAAAGTCGAGGAGCTATATTCTTTTTCTTTTTCCTCCCTCAGTCGTTGGACCGAGTCAATCGAAAGGACAATGATTTTTCTCCTCACCTTTCGAGTTTTGGGCTTAGGGTCCTCCGCCCGAGAGGAAGCCCTTTGTTTCTTTTCTTTTCCCTGTTCCAGGACCGGGGACTTGTTTCCTTCATCATCGCTTGAAGGCCTCGAAACGGCATCCCTAGTTACACCTATATACAAAGGAAAAATTGATAACGAAATGAACGCAGAATATAACTCGAGGGAAATAGGAACCAAACCTCACCATTCTTGGCCTCCCATCTACCTTTAGCCAAATCACGCCAAGCGTGCTCGGCATAGGACAAAGTCGAGGCTAACTTTCGAACCCAATCCTCGAGATCAGTCACAGCTTGTGGCATCCAAGGTGCAGCTGGACATCAGAAAATAATATTAACAAAAATAGAAAAAGACACGAAAAGCAAACAAGAATCACTTACGGTCGAAATTCCATTTTTCAGAAAACAACATATTTTCCTCCGGGATAAGATCACGAGTCCTCACTCGAATATATCGACCCATCCAACCTCGATCCTTATCTTCATCGATGCTCGACATCAAAGCCTTCGATGCTCGACAATGTAGCCTAATTAGTCCACGATAAATCTGAGGCTGATACAGTCGTATAAAGTGGTCCAGAGAAAAATCCAACCCCCCGGCTTTGATAGAGAAGAAACGCAATAAGATGGCTATACGCCATAAAGAAGGATGAATTTGGCCGAGGGTGACCTGTTATCTCCTGCAGAAATAAAAAATCATGGGATCGACAACTCCCAACGTAAAGGGATAGGTGTAAACGCTTAAAAATCCCTCCACGTAGGTAGTGACGCCCTCATTGGAGGATGGGATTTGTAACACAACCTTAGAACCCCAGCCGCAGTCTTTTCTGACGGCCTCGAGGTGAACCTCCGCTATAGAGCACGTATACATCGATACGTGCTCACACCGACCCGGAACGGACGAAGGGTTCTCCACCCTAAAATCAGTTTTTAAAATACACGGACCGGGAATATAATCTTGAACGGACGGCTCCGTCGGCGCCTTATCGTCACACGGCCGTGAGGAGGAAGCTTTCTCCTTGTGAGGTACGATTTTTGAAGTTTTCGCCATCAATATGAGAAGAAAAAGTCGCAAAGGAAGGTGAAAGAGGGGACATCACCAAAACTCTGGTATAAGCGGCACTAAAGCAACGAAGTAGAGAAAATAATCATAGGGAATTTGGGAAAAGAGGATGCACAAAAGTGGAAAACATTATATGGGAAAACTATTTATAAGGCATGGCGATTCGTTTCTAGCGGTGGCCGACCACCGACTGACACACATTAAATGCCTCGATAAAACCAAATCGATGGGACAAATATCACGCACGTCATAGCCAAAGTCGATAGAAACTTCATCATTGATTCGGTCGAACCTTAGGGAAATCACATCGTTTCTCGTCATCTCCTTTCCAAGAAACGAGGGGGCTATCTGTATACGGTTAAAACCGATCATCGATCATGAAGATCGATCGAGGATGGCATCTCAGTCAAGGGGTATCTTCATGGAGAACCCGAACGAATTCCGAGATGGGGGCGTCGAGCTCAGGGTGTCCGAATCGACCGAGGTAATATCGACCGATACAGGTCCCGAATATTGATGCCCGAAAGTGATCACCAAGCTCGAAACCAAGGCCGAGGTTCCGATCCGACACCGAGCTCGAGTCGGTATCGAGCTCACAGACAAAAAGCTGTTACAACCGCACCAAAGGAGAGAATCTTGGCGGGAATTAAGGAGGAGACACACCATCATGGGTCCTCCACTAGTAATATTATTCTATTATGTTGCTATAGATAAAGTAGTGATCCTTGACCATAAAAGGCAAGATAGATTGTAATAGAAGACATCTTCCTTGGGATTAAGAATTCATTGTGTTTATCTTTCTAAAGTTCACAAGTATCTTTGTTCATCATTTTCTATTTTGTATCATAAATACGTGTATTGTTATCTTCAGATCAAAGGAATCTACTTACCCTTAGAACCATACATAAATTCAACGTTATCCGATTTTTCGGGTAAACAACTATGTATTCTTCTAAAACCCTAATAAATCTTCTCTTCTTTTTTCAATCGGCCACACCCAAATAGTTCCAGTTAATCGATGTCGTCTGCTCGCAATAAGCGCCAACGAAATCATGTCATTGTTGATAGGATCAGCGATTTGCCTGACTTAATTTTGTGTCACATTCTCTCTTTTCTTCCAACTCATTATGCTGTGTGGACAAGTTTACTATCAAAAAGATGGAAAAATCTACGGACCAATGTTGACACTTTGTACTTCGATTGCTTTAACAAAAAGTGGAGAAAACGTAACTTTACCCGATTTGCTAACAGGGTTTTGATGTACCAGTTATTTTTGAACAAGTTGAAAAAGTTCTCCCTTTTGTGGACCAAAATATGTGACAAGGATGATATCCATGCATGGGTACGTTGGGCTATTGCTAACGGAGTTGAAGACTTTAATTTGCAAAAAATTGGTGAAACTAGTCGCCGAGTGAATTTGCCTATTAGCTTATACTCCTGCAAAACGCTAGGGGTTCTTGAATTGCGCGGCCAATTACTCATCAATTGTCCAGGAAATATTTGTCTTCCAAGATTAAAAACTCTTAGTTTAGTTACGGTTCATTATGAAGGTGACGAACGTGATGTTCGTAAGCTTATATCTAGTTGTCCCATGTTGCAATCTCTTTATATTGAAAGGAAGGGGTATGATAATGTATCTAAGTTTGTTATAAGCTCTCGTGTGTTGAAAAATCTCAAGGTTAAAATTTCTGATGATGGATCCTTTGAACGTAAAAGAAGAAAGGAAAAAAATTAGTGAGTTGTGTTTGGAAGTAAATACCCATAAACTTGAGTATCTAGATTTGGTGGATGACGTGTCTGAGATTTATTCTATGGTAGACGTATCGTCCTTAGTTGGAGCAAATGTCAATCTTAAAATTCCATTGCGATGCTCAGGTGAACAAAGAGATGATAGAGTCAAGTCTATTGCAAGATTGATGCAAGCACTTCACAAAGTGGAGGATTTACACATCAACGTTCCAACTCCCTCGGTACGCCGCACAACATATTCTCTTTGTTTTTATTCCTATTTATGTTGTTAGCTACTATTGGTGATCATTTATTACTGTACCTTGATATCCTCTGATAGTATTTGGTTTTATGCATAATGATCAATATTTTTTGAAGTTCAATTCTATTTCTGGAATCAAGATGTCTATCAGTCTCATTATTGCTCTGATAACATGTCTAGAAAACTAATCCTTTATACAAGAAAATAGTAGTACAACTATAAATGCTCCATGTACTAGTTTTGCTAGGGGATTGGTGCCTTCTTGATGCCATTCTTATACTCTGTTATCTTTAACCGATTACAGATGAACCTGAAATATAAGCATGCAATGGTTTTACGGAGGTATTGACACTTGAGGATAAAAAAACACAAGGTCGCTTGAGATGGTTTGGTCATGTCCTACGTCGACCTACAGATGCACCAGTCCATAGGCATAAAACTATGGTAGGAGAAGGTGTATAAAGGGGATGTGGTAGACCTAAAATCACGTGGAAAAAAGTTGTCTCGAAAGACCTACATATCCTTGGAATATGCAGATTTAGCTAAAGATACGACACAATGGAAGGAAAAAATCCATATAGGTAATACCTACTAGTTGTGAACATGTTTTAGACTTGATAGAAAATTTCTAATGGTTACTATTGTCGTTAATTAAATACATACACACACCCCTCTCTCTCTCTCTCTCTCTATATATATATATATATATATATATATATATATAAATACTTGCACTTAATTTTATTTTTGGTAATGACGATGATATGAGTTGAGTTAAATGAAAGGAATGAGGATACATATTACCGACACCGACTTGTTTGGAATTGAGGCGTAGTTATTATTGACAAGAGTGAGTTTTTCTAGTGGTGAGCACTCTCCACTTTCAACCAAGAGGTTGTGAGTTTGAGTCACCCCAAGAGCAAGTGGGGAGTTCTTGGAGGGAGGGAGCCGATGGTTTATCGGAAACAACCTCTCTACCCTAGGGTAGGGGTAAGGTCTGCGTACACACTACCCTCTCCAAACCCCACTAATGGAATTATAGTGAGTTGTTGTTGTTGTTGTAAAGAGAGATATTACATTGGTGAAATAAATAGATAGTCCCTTAAATTCGTTATAAATTGCCAAGTAGAAACCTTAATTATGGTAGTGAACAATTTGAAACACAGGTATGTCTATCATGTATCCCCGAGACATCGCGCCTTCTTCACTATTTCTTCTCCCCTGAGCCATCTCCCAAAGCCACTTTATCTGTTTCTTCTCCTCTTAAAAGATTTAACAACTCAAAGGACAATAATATATCATGATTTCATTCATTAAAAGGTCCTCCATTTGATTTGCTACAGCCAACATTCTATCTAAAGGTCAACTTTTACAACTGAGTCCTGATTGCCAGTTTGGTTTATGAGTGATCAAATATAACTGTGCTGCTATCTATAAACTATTTTCACATTGATCTTGGAAGCAATGGCAACATCTCACATCGTGTACAAATTCAACACAATGTTGGAGATAAGAGGGTTCTGTTGTAATCTACAGATATTTGCAGCTCTTTGCCTTGACGGGTGGCCGTTGGTATTGGAAGGAGTACTGTGAAGAGGAGGGTGCAAATTTGAGTGTGGAAATACATATTTTTCTGTCATGTCGTGTTGAATTTACGAAATATTTCTGCCAAAGAAAAGTGTCTATTTGGTCGTTGGTATAGTTAAGTATCTGTTTAGCAGTTCATATGTATATTGCCTATATATTACAGACTTGATTGCACGATGATAGTATATATGTTATATATGAGTTTTATGAAGGTTTCATAAATAGGATTGCAAATTTCTGCTGAATGTGTGACATGCTCTTGTACATCACTGTTTAAATTGTAGCGCGACAATGTATTTAACAAAGTAAAAAATATTGGTATTATTTGATTTGTGGAGAATTTAAACTTAAAAAGTTTTAAAAATTCACTAACACGTTTTGCATCGAGTAAAGATAACAAAACCAGAGAGAATTACTCACACTATTAACATTGGGCTACATAACTTGTGGGTATTTTATTGTTCCGCTCGGGTTCAGCGTATTAAGGCTCATTAAAGGAGAAATGCTCTCTACCAGTAATTGTTTTTATATCTGAAACCTCTAATTAAGCATAAAGGGATTTTATCCATCTCACCACAATTGTTAGCGGTGTGACGAGTCATTATTATTCTTGTATATGAACCATCTGCCAGTAGCTTCCAATTTATTAAAAAGATTAGGCCAAAATCCTTGCCTTCACTGATCAACAACATTATCTGGGCGAGTAGACTGAAAACGATACAAGTTACAGAATCATGGTTGTATAGTATTTGGGCATGGATATTTTTTTGGTAGGCAGAAGTCTTTTACCTTTTTCCCTAACTTCATATTAGAATCCACATCACCAATAGTCTGTTAAAATTTTGGAAAGGAGTAAAGTCAGTCACTCAAACGTAGTTGAAGACAAGTAGAGGAAACTATTACTTTTTTAGTTTTATCAGTTTGACTTGAATAAGATGACTATTGACTAGCATATGGCCTCAAAAAGGGCTATTTGTGTAAATCCGCCCTTCATTGAGCCCGCATATGATTGAAGGTGAAAAGGCTTTCAGCCCATCCGTATCGGCCCAAATATTCTGTCTAATTCACAAGTATTTTGTATGGTCTTCTCAGTTTTTTTCATGTAATATGGCAAAAACATCTTAAATTGCCTTTAGAAAAGATATCTCTACCTCATCCTATAATATATATTTGCCTGTTATCTTATGATAATGTTTTCCTGTGAGATACTGTTGTTGGTTACTAAAATTAAGAAATTGGCATTATTTTATACGGCTTTTTGTTCGCATTTTATTTCAATTGGTATAAATTTATATTAGCAATTTCGATATATTTTTATGCCAAGTCCAACATAGGACAATTTATACGGAGATTAAAACCTAAAAGCCCAAAATAATTTAAGAACATATGAAAGAAATTATTTACTACTTGTACATCACACAATTGAGTTTTAAAGGTATTTTCTATTTTCGTCTTTCAACACAAAAATGGAATATTCATGCACTGAAACCTAAGATTGGTTTTCAAAAATTTCAACATAAGGTTCAATAACAATACAAGGTTCAGACTTTGACATTCTTCTTTGAATCTTGTAGTTAAAATTCTCAAAACATCTTTTAATATCTCAAACGTGAATACACTACAAAAAGCCAGACATTTTGTTTGGTGACTTTAGTCGCCATAAAAACAAGGACTCTTTTTATTTTCTTTCTGAAAAACACCTTCAGAGTCCTTCTACAAACAAAACAACCACTACAAGAAAGAGCTCATTTTGTGGGGGTTAATTTAAAAATTTGTGGCAGTTTTTGATCTTCACAAAATAAATTGTGGCGGTTTTAAAAAATGCCACAGTTACCTTCGCCACNTTTCTATCTCAATATTTAAAAAAAAATAAATACTGGCAGCTTATAACTGCCAGAATATTTTTTTTCTATTCAAAATTTTAGTTCTAGGATTCAATAAATACACCGCAGATCTAATTCCATTAAAAGTATCTAAACAAACCAACATCACAAATTCAAGTTCATATCAAACTAAGGTTATATAACACATACGGTATATGATAGCTTAAACATTTTACAATCTAGAGTAGGTTAACAATAAATAAATATACAAAAGTGACATGTATTTGCTTGGTGATCTGTATTGTTGTCACCTCGTGATACTCTTCCGCCCATGAGTAAAGCAGACTCACTCTGCATATCACTATGCTGGAACTGTAAAATAAACCAATAATTAATTTATCAAACTAAACCAAACCACACCAAAGTCAAAATCTTTTGGAGCTAACTTCGAACAAAAGCAACAAAAAGTGCAAAATAATTCTGGAATAAATTAAAAATATATACTACTAGCTTACCTCAATATCTCATTTCTAGAGGAACTAACAACTACAAATATGAAACAAATTTGGTTACTTGATATAATCTAGGAAAAGAAGTAAAAGAATTAAAAATTTAGGAGATGAGTTAAGAAACATAACTTACCCCTAAGTGTTATCATGCAAACACATCAATCCTTTAAACCAAATCTGCATAAATTTAACATCCAAGAACAAATTTAACATCCAATCAAGTTAGCTTCAACAAAACTTTTTGTCTCTAGAACTACTTCATAGTAAGAGATCCTCTTAAAGGAAACACATGAACATCGTAAATTTAAAAAGAGGTGAATCAAATAAAAAGGGGTGAATCATATATGAATACCATTTCTAAACATACTTTTAAACCAAATATGAATACCATTCTAAGCATACCTATAAACCAAAAAAAATAAATAAGAACTACTTAATTATTGTTACCTTCAGATAGGGCACATATTTAATAAAGTCAGAAACAACATTTTTCTTTATTACATCATCAATTAGATAGTATGTAACTAGTTGTACATACTCGTCACATGGCCAAAAAGTGTTCAAGTTCTTGCTCTTGATATGTCTCATTCTAGTATATTTCTTCTTAAATCTCTTCTCACATATCATACAAATTAAATCTTTTGGCTATGGATGTACAACATATCATCTACATAATACATCTTTTGTGCTTGAGATGCTTCAATGTAAGGCTCAAGTTCTTCGCTCTCTATTTCTAGTAGCCATATAGAAAATTATTGTTCACTATCTTTTTTCAAAATAAATTAAGCATCAGTGGTATACTAATAATTAACCTACCCAAAAATCCCCAAGATTAAAGTTCACTGCAAGACCTTAGCAAGTAAAAGAGATACTAAAGACCATGTAGTTTCTTGAGATTTTCCAATGTAGATGTTAGAGATAACATTAGCAAATACCTTGTCTGAAGAATTCCGATGTGCTCTCGCACAATTATTAATATATGGGTCTCTTCAAGCAATTTTAGCATCACACAACATAATTAAATTATGGTTAGAATTTGAAAAAGCTTTATGTTAAGTGAAAAGCTCTTTACAGAAACACTGAGTAATCTGTAACCAAAAGTAAAGAATCTAATAGCAGAGGTACCGTTTGTTTAAAGTATTCATATATTTTGAAGCATATATATTTAACAAGATTTACTCAATCATATTCTTCAAGATGGACTATTCCAAGGCAGATTGTACATAAATATTTTATTACTGGTTCAAGCAATAACTAAACTACAACTGAAAATCACAAATTTCATGGCTACTGAGATAAAGAAAACAAATTGAGTTAAGAGAAAAGGAAAAAATCATCTTAATACGAGTAGCGGCATTCTAAAGTTAATTTGCCCAAAAGGATACTTCCCTTCAGAAAAACTCATGTCATCCTTCAAGCCTGAAAATAATTGAATAAAAAATCATTAAACTGAAGCATTGGGGCAACGGAAAATACGTAATCCCTGATCTCACAAATCAGTGTAGGAGCCATAAATTGAGAAGAATAATAATACTTAAACGTAATTAAACTAGATCAAAATTGAAGCAGATGAAGAAAGAACGCACCTGAAGCAATTGAAGCAAAAGGAATTCACAGGGAAGAAGGCAGTTCAGCCGAATTATTGAAAAGAGAAAACCTTGAGGCATAGTGAAATTAAAAGAGGGAAAGATTTGGAAAATTTTTTGAAATGGGAGGGAGAAATTACCGCGTCTGTTTTTGGAGCAAACAAGAATGAAAATTTTAAGCAATAAAACCAAACTAGTTGAGAAAATTAATTTTTTTTTAATAACAACAATATTTTTGGCATCAATAAAATTGCTAAAATCTCTATATTAGATAAATGTAATAATGTTTTAATTGGTATGATGAAAATAACGAAAATCCAAGTGCTTAGTTTTGTTAGTATTATTTATATCCTTTCAAAATTTAAATTATCTCAAATAAAATGATAAAACAAAAATTATGTGTATATAATTATAAAATTTAAATATCTTTCAGGTAAATATCGTACGCGCCTGACGTATGATCGTTACCTCACATAAGGTGTTGTTTACGGTCAATCTAAAGCGTACTATATCACAACAATGATTTATACTTGCCTTCGAGCCTATATTTTGTACATAGCCCTAAGGTAAGTTATTTCTTACTATTCGCCAGGCATAAAAACATATAAACATCCATCAATAAGATCTTTATTGCTTATATTTATATTTTTTTTTGTCTCATTCTACTATTTAGCTACTACTGCCCTATTCTTTCTAATTGTAAAATTTTGTCACGATCTCAATTTTCCTCCGTAGGATGTCGTGATGGCACATAATCTTAAAAGCTTTTACAAAAGAAACCTCACAATAAGAATAATTTTGTGAAGGTTAGAATAAAAGCGCCACAAATAGAATATATAATGGGGGTCTTCTACAACCCTCACAAATAAGCTGCCACAAAAAGAATTATTTTGCGGGGATTGGCACAAACGACACAAAATAAATATATAGTGAGAATTTTGTATAACCCCTATAAATAAACCACCGCAATTTAACAGATATTTTGTAGTGAACTGGTCTACAATCTTTTTATAAAAATTTCTTGAAAGAAACAAACACACGTTTTGCAATAAATAGTTTCAAAAATTCTCAACAAAGAAACAATATCAGGCAGATCATAAGAAGATATGATTAAACTGAATAGTTATACAAGGCTTTGTCTTTATTGCGTGTTTTTATCTTATTAAGGACTTGAAATTACTTGTTTTCAATATTTAAGCGATAATTTATAATAAATAAAAGAAGAAGGTAAATTCACTTGCTCCTCTTAATTAATGATGCGAGATGGAAAAAAGCGCTAAAAGAGAAAGATAATATAACAATTATTATATTAGGCAACAATCATAACTGTTGTTCCAAAGCTAACATAAGTAGTATAAATATCGTAAATAACTAACAATTCTTACCAAAATAAAATAACAGTACTGTTATAATAAGAGAAATAAAAGAAGCAAATGAAAGAACGTAACTCCAGAGAATTAAATGAACAAGGCCTCACTTATAAGAATATCTTAGAAAACTCACATGCTTGGATAAGGAGATGGAGCGTATGTCGGTTTGGCTTTATAGAAGTTTTTCGATTTTCGATTTGCAATTTTAATAACCAAAATTAAATCAAAGTATTTTCGGTACGGTTCGATTTTTTTACGATTTGGTACAATTATTTCGGTTTGATTTTTTGGTTTTAAGCTTGTCAAATTGAACTTTTTTCTTAAGCAATAAATGAGCCTCAGAATTAATTCTTACAAAGTTTCAGGCTCAATGCATGTGCTTAGCAAATTGTCTTTCTGTAATCTACTATAACATAAAATTTAACTAGAAAATAATAAAATATACACTAAAAATATATGCTTATCGTATTTGCTAAGAATCTGTACTGATGAGTATTTTTTTATTGTTGAATTTTCAATTCAATATTTTCTTAGTAATAGCAGTTATGATTTACACGAAAGTAACAAAGAGATTTATGTTATCATCGGGAAACCAATAAATATCATAGTATATTGAATAATGATCATGGTGGTAATTAATTTTTGGGTAACGTGGCTTTGGGGTTGGATGAACTTCTAAAAAGTATGGTATTTTGGGGTTTGGGCTTCAGCATTCACTAACAATTAATAAATAGGAATTTTCACAGAATACTATTTTTAGTGGCTATTAACTTCTTATGCTATCATATACATAATTACTTCGTATAGCTACTATTCGGTTGTTACGGTAGTGTATTCACATATATTCGCGCTGCTGTATTCATGAATACAGCAGCAAAAAACGCCTAAAATCAGGGCAGTCCAGTTGTACGCGCATATATTCACATGTATTCGCGCTATGTATTCATGAATACAACAGTAAAAAATGCCTAAAATCAGGGCGGTCCAGCTCTACGCGCATGTATTCACATGTATTCGCGCTACTGTATTCATGAATATAGCAGTAAAAAGCGCCTAAAATCATAGCAGTCTAGCTGTACGCGCATGTATTCACATGTATTCGCGCCATGCATTCATGAATACAACAACAAAAAGCGCCTAAAATCAGGGCAGTCCAACTGTACGCACATGTATTCACATGTATTCCCGCCATGTATTCATGAATACAGTAACGACAATCCCTTAAAAATAGGTATGTCCAGCTGTCTAAGAGAGAGGAAAAACATAAATAGCGTATTTCACGCCTCAATGGTAATATATACCATAAAATACTTATTTTGCTATAAAATATAAAAGGTAGCTATAGAAAATAATATTTTAAAATAATTTTGGTTGATAATAAATAAGATGTATACATTTGCTATAGGAGATAAAATTTCCATTAATAAATGATTGGGCCCATATTTAACTTGTTAGACTTAAGAGTTAAGATAAGCACATAGGCTATATGACTCATACTTAAAAAAAATCGAACACCAAACTTTTAAAAAATATAAATCGCAAATCGACCGAAAAACCGAACCGTATAAATCGAAATTATCGGTTCGTCGGTTTTTTCGATTCGATTGGTATTATGCCCACCCCTAGATGCACCGACCTTTTGGGACACAGCATTAAGTATTGAAAATAATCTGACCTATGCATTAATTAGAATGCTAATTAAATTAACCTTCATTGTCACCTTTCGATTTCAATTCCAAAAAAACGTGAATATGTTGTCAATTCGCATCACCATTGGTCTCTATATATTTGCAAAAAATAAACTAGCTTTTTAATACTTGTGATTTGATATAGTACTATTTTTTTCAATCTTTATATTCAATCATGTGGATATCATAATTGTGGCTCTTAAAAGAACGCTAATACAACTCTGGCATTAGGCTCATCTTCATACTTTTAGGTAAATCTTGACAAGCGACTGTTTTGAGCTTAAGCACGCCATGTGTTGAGAAAATCTGTTCAATTTAAATGTGTTGCCTTGTAACAACAAGAATAAGAAAGAACGATTGACAAAAAATATGAACAGAGGCTTAGCCATCCATGAATGTGTAGGGTTTGGATTTGTTTAGGTTTTAGTTTCTAGAAGAAATATATCAATTATTTACTGTTATACACATATTATACATGAACTAGACCTATATGTATTATTAATTTCAGCTGTTAGATTATAAGACAACTATTTAGGTTAATCTTATTTTGAGAAAAGACTTTTTTTCAAATATTTTGCCAATATTTGTGTAAGTTCTTGGAAGAGAACCCGGGATATTGGTTGTTAGCTCTTTTTAAAAATATTCAAATGGTTTTGAGAACAATTTCTAAACGGAAATGGCTCAAGTAATAAAGGCAAGCAACTGTTACAGATGCCAAACAATTGGAGTTTGAGTACGCATTCTTCAGAATAAAAGCAAATAACAGCACAAAGTGCTAACGGCCAAAAACTAACAGTACTCGATGAATGTAACACACCAAATTAAATCTCCTTAACTAGAAAACTTCTTTAAACAACTATTAATTCTTATAATGGACCAATATTAGGAATCTAGCATTTCTATATACCTAAAGAAGATAATATTCATCATGATAAGTTATGTGTCCTGTTATATTTTGATGATCTAACAAACTTAATGTTAAGAACCAGATGGGGAACCTGCTCCACATCCTCATAGTGCTCAAGATCAACAAGTCTCAAGTTTGGGACATGCTCCAACACTCAGAGTCAAAGAAACTACAGAGGGAACAAATGGACATCAGTTCTCTTGCTAACTGTACCAGTCAACCCCACAGCTGTAAAGTCGCTGCAACTATTCCTCTGCATACACGCAACCGTGCAAACAGTGCAGCAGTCACTTTATGGGGAATGCCCTTGTACCAAACATGCTTACATCATTCAAGTGATGTCACTTATGTAATATTAACATGAAGCAAAGGCAAAACATCATACTTGCACATTCCAGAATTGATCAAGCTTTCTCTCAAGTGTGCTGCTAACTTGCAAGTGACATTCAAGGCATCAAGAACAAAGAACAACATAACGAATGACCAGTCATGATTTTTAAGTTGAAATCCTACGAGTGTAGGTCGTGATTTTTAATCCTGTGAGCTGGGAGTTTTAGACGTAAAACTCTATTGTGTTATTTACTTACTGTTGTGTGTGTGTATTTTCTGTGGGAACTAATAGAAAACTCGTTTTATTATATAGTTTGGTGGACCCTTAGTTTCTTTCAATTGGTATCAGAGTAGGTTCTTTCTATGAGTCTAACACCTCGAAAGGATCCTCATGGCTGCTCCACCAAACTTTGAAGAAGGTCAATCTACCTATAGACCGCCAAGATTCAATGACCAATACTATGGATGATGGAAGACAAGGATGCATGATTTTACCATGGTTGAAGATTAAGAGCTCTAGGATGTTATCTGCAATAGTCCCTTCGTTCCTATGAAAACCATTGGGGGAACCAGCAGTGACAGTTCCCAAGACTAGAAAGGAGTACAACGATGATGACCGCAAGGCTATAGAGAAGAACTTTCGAGCAAAAACAATCCTCGTCTGTGGTATTGGGCCAGATGAATACAACAAGATTTCTGCTTGTCAATCTACCAAGGAGATCTGGGAAGCTCTCCAAACAGCACACGAAGGGACAACTCAAGTCAAGCAATCGAAGATTGATATGCTAACCATTGAGCATGAACTCTTCAGGATGAAGGACGATGAGTCCATTCAAGACATGCACACTAGCTTCACCTCTATCATCAATGAGCTTCGTTCTTTGGAAAAAATCATTCCAAGGAACAAACTTGTCAGAAAAATACTCAGCGTATTACCTAGTTCCTGGGAAAGCAAAGTAAATGATATCCCGGAGGCAAAAGATCTACAAAAGCTGATTATTGATGAACTCATTGGTAATCTGAAAACTTATGAAATAAAGAAGAAAAAGGATCATGAGAGAAGAGAGCCTAAAAGGGAGAAGAACCTGGTCCTCAAGACAGGCAACAATGAATCAAGTGGTGAGGATGTTTATATGGCTTACTTGAAGAAGAGATTTCAGAACATGGTTCGCAGAAATGGAGGTATTTCAAAGAAGGGCAGCTCCAGCAAGCCAAGAGGATATGACTTATGTCATACGTGCGGGAAGCCAGAAAATTTCATCAAGGATTGTCCCTTCCTTAAGAAAGACCAATACAAGCACAACATAGATAAAACAACCATGATGAACCTGGTTCCTGACAAAAGATTTAAAAGAAAAGAAGTCGCTGACAATGTTGTGAAACAAGCTCTTGCTGCATGGGGAGACTCTTCCAGCGAATCTGGAGAAGATGATGCACAAGGTGACACCTCCATGATGGAAGTTGATAGTGAAGCAGATGATTATGATTCTATCTTTGCCCTGATGGAAAAATCTAACGATGATGATGATGAGGTAAACTTTCTAGATGTTCAAAAAAATCTGAAGTCTTATTCTCAGAAAAAGCTTATATCTTTGACAAATGTTTTAATTGATGCTTATAAAAATGTTTTAATTAATGCTTATAAAAATGCTTTACCTATGGAACTAAGAGAGGTAGAAAATGAGAGAGATGATTTGGTAATCATAGTGGCTGACCTTAAAGAGATTGTTAAAGATCTAATGAAAGAAAAGAATATTCTAATTAAAAAGGTTGAAGACATAAAAATAAGAGAGATGACCTATTAATAGTAGTCCTAGACCTAAAAGAAACAACAGAGGAATTAAAAAGAGAAAACAGATCTGGGACTATCCAAAAGGGAAAGGAAGTTGCAAGTGAGGCACACATTAGGCTTGAAAATGAATTCAAATCTGTGAAATCTAGTCTGTGTGCTGAACTTGAAAGAAACAGACAACTTCAAGATGATCTAGGAAGAGTTAAAAATGACCTAGAAAAATTTCTAAGGTGGACTTAGTCTTCTGATACAATTACTGTCATGTATGCTAGCAAGGGTGGGAACAGGCAAGGAGTCGGATTCCAAAAGGAAAACTGACTTTGCTAATGAACTTGGTCCCACAATCCACATAGCAAGTATGTTACTATCCCTGATAACTGGCTTTGCACCCACTGTGGGAACACTGGTCACTTAAAAAAAACTGTAAGGCTAGAATTCAATCTCAACAGAAAAACAAAGTGTTTGCTGAAAAGGTAATTACTACTAATGAACTTGGTCCCTATGGCAAAAAATGTGTACTGCCTGCCTGGATAAAAAGAACTTTAATTCACCCTTTTCCTCATTACAAGGGACCCAAACTTGTTTGGGTTCCTAAGTCTAATCCTTGATTCTCTTGTTTAGGAAGCAATGAAAGAAAGCAACCAAAAATGGTACATGGATAGTGGTTGTTCTAAGCACATGACTGGAAGCATCAATAATTTTCTTTCACTCAAAACCCTGCATGGATGGGGTGTGTCCTTTGGCAATGGAAAAAAGAAATACATTTTGGGAGTAGGAAGAATTGGGAAGTCACTCACTCACTCAATTAAAAACGTGTATTATGTGAACGACTTGAAATATAGCCTACTGAGTGTTTCCCAAATCCGCGACAAAGAAGCAAAGTGGAATTTGTGTCAAAAATCTTCACAGTCACAAATCTTGTGACTGGTGAAGTGGTCCTGGTGGCAAAAAGATATAAAAATATTTATGTTGCTGATTTTGAGTCCTTGCAAAATGGAGATCTCACATGTCTGAGTGATGTTGATGATGATGTTAAACTATGGCACAGAAGATTGGGTTATGCAAGCTATACGTTGCTAAATAAATTGGTCAGGAAGAACCCGGTTCGTGGCCTACCAAAGTCAAGTTTCAAAGATCACAAGGTGTGTGATGCATGTATAAAAGGAAAGCAATTCAGGTCTTCTTTCAAGCCCGAAAATGAAGTCATCACCTCAAGGCCACTTGATCTTCTCCACATGGATCTGTGTGGACCTATGAGGGTTCCAAGTAGAAGAGGAAAGAAGTACATTTTTGTTATAGTGGATGACTATTCCAGATTCACCTGGGCCTTGTTCCTCAAAACCAAGGATGAAACTTTTTCAGTGTTTGTTGCCTTTGTGAAGAAGATCCAAGTGAAGTTGAGCCACAATGTTGTGTGTATAAGATTTGATCATGACAAAGAGTTCGATAATGCAAAATTTGACGAATTCTGTGCTGAAAATGGCACAAGTCATAATGAGCTCCAAGAACACCTCAGCAAAATGGTATTATGGAGAGGAAAAATAGGACTGTTGAAGATATGGCAAGGACAATGCTGATTGACAGTGGCATTGCTAAAGGTTTCTGGGCAGAAGTTGTTAACACTGCATGCTATTTGGTGAACATGTGCTTGATCAGGTCCCTCCTAAACAAGACTTAATATGAACTGCTGAACGAGAGGAAACTCAAGCTAAAAAATTTAAGGACATTTGGCTGCAAATGTTATGTCCTCAACAATGGTAAGGAAGCATTTGGAAAATTTGATGCCAAAAGTGATGAAGGAATCTTTCTATGCTATTCATCACAAATAAAAGCCTACATAGTCTACAACAAAAGAACTCAATGTGTTGAGGATAGCATACATGTAATCTTTGATGAATCACACCACCCATGTAGGAAATATTCACATGATAAGATTGATCAAGATGGAGAGCAGTCAACAGTTCCTAGTGAAGTCATTGATATGGCAAATGGAAAAGCTGACATGATGAGTCACGTCAAGGAATCAAATGATGATGATGATGCAGCTGTGTCTCTAGCTGATGTAGAGGAACCAGGTTCCTCCATCACAACAATTGAAGTTGAGAACAGAGTCGTTGATGCTGTTCAAGGAACCCTAAATACTGAGCTGAGAAGCGGGACTCATGTCAACAATGGATCATATTCATAAGAACCTGGACCCTCTCACAATGAGATTCAGGTGTCTAACTGGAAGCAAAAAAGTTCACACCCTCTCTAAAATGTTATCACTCCTCTTGACATAGGGATTCAAACTAGATCAAAGTCAATAAACTCACTTGCCTTCTCAGCCTCTCTCTCTTAAATTGAGCCCAAATATATCAAGGAAGCATTGAAAGATGCCGACTAGATTACTGCCATACAAGATGAACTCCATCAATTTGAGAGGAACAACATGTGGCACCTGGTTCCTCGACCTGCTGACAGAACTGTTATAGAAACCAGGTGGGTATTCAGAAACAAACTTGATGAGTTTGGAAACACAACAGGGAACAAGTCAAGGCTAGTAGTTCAAGGCTACAATCAAGAAGAAGGGATCGACTATGATGATACTTTTGCTCCAGTTGCTCGAATTGAAGCCATCGGAATCCTCATACCCTTTGAATCTCATATGGAATTTAAATCGTTCCAAATGGATGTCAAAAGTACATTTCTGAATGGTTTTCTAAAAGAAGAAGTCTTTGTCAAGCAACCACTGTCTTCGAATGTCATGAGCATTTTGAGCATGTTTTAAACTTAAAAAAGCTCTATATGGGCTGAAGCAGGCTCCTCATGTATGGTATGAAATATTGTCTAAATTTCTCCTAGAAAATGACTTTACAGGAGAAAAAATAGACAACACCCTATTTTTGAAGAAACGAGGAGGAACCTGCTCATTGTGCAAGTTTATTTTGACGACATCATCTTTGGTGAAACAAATGATTCTCTGTGTGAGGAGTTTGCAAAGCTCATGGGAAGTGGGTTTGAAATGAGCATGATGGGGAAATTGAATTTCTTCTTGGGTCTGCAAGTCAAGCAAACTCCTAAGGGCACAATGACAAGTGAGAAAAAATACATCAAAGAGCTTCTGAAGAGATTTGAAATGGAAAGCTCAAAAATCATTGATACTCTTATTGCCACTGCCACTCATCTGGACATGAATGAACCTGGTTCCTCTATGAACGAGACCATGTACATAGGCATCATTAGGTCACTCTTGTATCTTACAATAAGTAGACCAGATATCGTTTTTAGTGTGGGACTATGTGCCAGGTTTTAATCCAATCTAAAGGAATCTCATCTGAAGGCTTCCAAGAGAATCCTGAGGTATCTAAAAGGAACGCATGACCTGGTTCTATACTATCCCTCATGAGACAATTTCGAATTGATCGGGTATGCTGACGTTAATTATGCTGGTTATCTGGTCGATATGAAAAGTACTTATGGCATGATACACTTTCTGGGATCGTGTCTTATTTCATGGAGTGCAAGAAAACAAAACTCAATGTCTCTTTCAACTGCAGAAGCTGAGTATGTGGTAGCTGCCTCTTGTTGTGCTTAATTGTTGTGGATCAAGCAACAATTAGAGGATTTTTGGCATATTTTATGATTGTGTGCCATTACTGTGTGATAACACCAGTGCTCTCAACATGTCAAAGAACCCAGTTCAGCATAAGAGAACAAAGCACATTGATGTGCGACATAATTTTCTCAGAGACAATGTTGAACAAGGGCTTATCTGCATGAAGTTTTGCAGCACAGAAGATCAAATTGCAGACATCTTCACCAAAGCCCTGAGCAAAGATCACTTTGAAAAGAATTGTATGCACTTAGGTTGATAAAATCAAGCTGAGAACCTGGTCCCTCGATGATTGGCTATCAAAGAAATGAACAGGTAAAATAGCTGAAAAAGTGTTTTCTGGCAAGGTCTAACACATTTCTATACCATTACAGGTAGACACGCATGGCGATTATAGAGCAAACAAGGAGCTAATGGTATTGCACTTTGGTAAAAGGATGAGGCTCACATTTATAAAATCTGTTAGGGAACCTGGTTCCCTTGACATAGGTTAGTAGTTCCTTTGTACTCTCATGCACAACTTTTTAAACGGCTAAAAAAGGTGCCACGTCATTAAAATGTCAGTTTCTAATTTTTCCCTTTTTAGAACCCAAGCGTCCTACCGGTTACGAAACGACCCGTCTACCCAAAAAATCAATACCCGTTCCTAATCGGTCCCACACCCCCTTTAAATAAACCCAAACACTTTCACTCTCATAATTGTTCACATCAAAAGCCAAAATTTTCCTTTTCTCTCAACAACCAAACACTCTCTTCTTCCATAAACTCTCACTATTCTGCACCATGTCTAAGAATCTCTAAGCTTCAAGTGTCCCTAGTATCGTCCCCGCTGTGTTTTCATCTCTTGAAGTACCGGTGACAGAGTCTAAGTACCCTACACCATCAAGTCCAAACCCTAAAAATGATTTCCAATAACCCACTGCCTCTTCTCCTACCCAATCAAGTTTTGGTCTATATCGGAGTCGCAAAACTTTGAATCCCAAGAGGTTTGTGGCTATAACCTCTTCTTCTGCCTTGCCGAAAAAAATGGCTTAGAGAGAAACGGTAGAGGGAGAAGAAAATCAGTAAGTCTCCAGTCTGCAAGTGGAAGAGAGTTCTGAGGCACAACAGGGTGTGGTTCTTAATGGTAACAAATCGATTCTACAGGTAATATTCCTCCCAGTACCTTCTGAGTTTACTTTGGGGTTACAAGAACAAGAGGCCATAGACAATATGTTGTCAATAGCTACTGAGAGAAGTTTGGTTAGTGGTTATGAAGGTGTGTCTGAAACCAATGGGTTTCAGGGGGAAGGTGATAGTCTATAGGAAGAGGGTAGGGAACTGGTGTCTGTCGAAAATCTGGCACCTGAAAGTACTACTGGGAACCACAAGAGGGACCTGATCCCTCCGCCCAAGAAGAGCCCTCTGTTCCTACTTGGGAATAAAACTCTTGTTTTACAAAAGAACCCTAGGTCGGTACTGATCCTGCCCCCTCTCCTCATTTCTATGCTGAGCCATTGGCCATTGTTGCTCCTGAGATGAAATATCTTTCTGAGGAAGAGAATGAGGATAATGAAGAAGACTATGAAAATGTGGATCTTGCAAGGTTTATTAGTGCTAGGAATAGAAGGAAAACTCCCAAAATGCCCACTCCTAAAAGACCTACTACTAGGATGCAAAAGAAGGAAGCTCTCGAGTCAGTTCTGAAGAAAAATAAGGAAGAAAAGAAGATGAGGGGGTTGGTGTAGGGTGGAAAGTTAGTACATGAAGAGGTAGTGCCTACATCATATATTGTTGACGTTGATGACGAGGTGAATGAGGAACCCAGTCCCTTAATTCGTATGTCCTCTAAGAAACCTACTGTTCCAAAATCTGGGAAAGAGTCATCTGTGAGAGTGATGGAGGTTAGCAATGTTGAAGTGGGAAAGTCTGGCGAGAAAGTGGTTGAGGAGTCTGGTGAGAAAGCGTTTGAGAAATTTGTATCTGAGAAATCTGCAGAGAAAAGGAAAAGTATGAGACAATAAGTGAAACGGAAGGCTGGTGCCAATGAGGAACCTGGTTCCTCCAAGAAGGCCAAGGTAGGTGTGGCCAAGAATGAAGGAAGGGAAAATCTGAGAAACCAGAAGGTGTTATGGGGCAGAACATTTGCCCCTGATATTCTTGACATGACATGAATGCGCCAAACTAGTTGATATATGTGAATTTAAACAGTGGACACATTTGTTCACAAATGAGAGTCTTAAGGTGTATGAGGCTGAGGTGCACAGTTTCTATGCCGACTTTTTCACAGTCGAGGATGACAACATATGTATGAAGGTGAATGGTGTCGACTTTGTGATGGATGAGGCTA